ACCGACCAAATGCAATTTACTTAGCGGATTGTTCGATTAAAAGCTCATGCAAGGCTTAAGATTACAAAGCTCGCGATGGCTTTTTCTTTTAAGTTTCGAAAATCTCGTCGGCCGTTTGTCAAATCCCAGTATGTGCATCCGTCTCCTTATTTGAACATCACAAACTTTTGATGGCGGTGGTTGCTGCTGCCCAGCTATAAAGAGACTCGATGACTTTATTTAAAGCTATGAGAAAAGGGATTGTCTTTACAACTGTATATAAGTCGGTATGGTTGAAACACCTACGCATATCAGAGCTATTCTCGACGACGCCTCTAAAAACGACCGCGCGTCAGCGCTGATGACGTTGTCGAATACAGACTCGCAACTTGATGTCAAAGATAAATCAGCTGCAAAAAGCTAAAGGAAAGAGGACGCTTGCCTTAAATTTACGGATTTCCGTTTTTCAAAAAGACGGGAGATCAGAGATTGTCATGAATTTATCCCGGATTAACACAAGGGAAAGGCGTTGTAAAGTAATTTTCTGCGTAATATTCTAGTCACAGGTTCCAGCCCTACCTCACCGCCGCCTAACCCCGTGATACCGACAATCACCTGGGCTGATTGTGTTGCAATTTCCATCCGTGATGAAGCATTCTATTGTTTGAAAACGAATCGTCTTTAATAAGCATTTTCTTAGCAAGGATTTTGTTACACTTCACGGGTACTGTGAAATAAATCTCTACTTTTCACAACGTTAGCGCTTGAGTTAGCGCCACAATAAATTATGCGTTGCCAATAAGCAGGAATTTTAACAATTTAGCAATAGATGCATATCAACGTAAAAAGATTTCCAAAAAGGGATGACTCTGCAAGCATTGTAAGCTTATTGAAGCAACAATTGGGACGATAACAAGATAGCTGGCCTAGCTCTTGAATTCTGAATTTACGAAGAATGAGTTAACCGCGGGGTGCAGAACGCCTTTGTAACCGCGCCCAATGACCTATTGTCTTAAATATTCAATCGATGTTGTGCTATCGCTACTCACTTTACCTTTTAATAGACAACGAACTTGACTCTAGGTCTTAAAAATATAGATTTGAAAATGGAAAAGAAGCCGTTAAATTTGGGGCTAAAATAATTTCGTAATTTTCTCAGTGCGATCTTGTCGTGAGCTTTTGTAATTTCATTGCAAACTGAAGTGACTCGAAAACAAAGCCACGTGGTTCCCTTTGTGTGAACAAAACGTTAATTAAAGGTTTCCGGTGTTGAAGACTCTGGGGTGTTAATCCGAATTTCCCTTTGGGATTGTACTCTCTAAAACTGACACAAAACAACAAGAACTACAAGCGAATCGTCCTAAAACAAAATTGTAATTTTCTAATACGCGATAAGCTATCATCGAAGCTGCGTTCTTCGACCAATTTGCACAATTGTTTTAGTGGAATTAAAGACCTTCTAGATTATTTTTGCAGGTTAAAAATGGGTATGATTTTCTAAAGAAATTTCGCACGCCCATGCATGCACGCAATTTCCTAACCGCAAACCGTTATTTTTTCGTCTGGTGGTTTTTCCGCAGAAGATCATAAATGATGTAATGGAAAGTACCGACGTTGCATATTTTTTCACGATACGCCTGAACAAGTCTAGCGAGCTTGACGATGATATTGACTTGCCTACAGTGTTTAGAATCAATAATTAATGATCATTAACCTTGGCATTGGGCACAATCCGTGGACCTTTTCGAGGGCTCGAAAGAAACCGCTTTGTCCAATATAGGAAAATTATTTATTCGATAAAATTCAGACAGGCGTAACTCTTTATGACTCACCGGGGTGCAATTCGCTGCCAGGTTAGAGCAAAGTTCCCTCATACATGCGAATCTTCCAGAGAACTCAGAGTACACTGTAGGCCGCCTGAGAAAACTTTTGAACCAATTATAAATCAAGAAGCATTTACTTTCGAGTGGGTGGGAAAACTCCCTTCAAATGCCTTTCGCTTCGCTTGCATTTTCCTAAATAAACAAGAAATTTCCCGAAACTTATCAAAAACATCATCGATTTTTTTTATAAAATCAGAGGTTTCGCTGATTGAAATCCTAAATTTAGGCAGGCATATCCTAGATCGAAAAAGAAAAAGAAAACTCAAAATAGTGTTATCAAATTGCTATCAAACGAGGCCGCCCTTTACAATTGTACTTCGCAAGTGAAAATTGAAAACAAACGTAACAGCTTAACAAAGACATCAATAAATTGTCCCATTGTGTCCAGCTTCGTAAACATTATCAAAAATCTAATCCTAGAAGATTGACTTCTACCACTTGAACTGCTTTAGTATTTCCTGAGATTAGAACAACCAGGTTTGTCGAGGGGCTCTGTGTGGCATTGTTTTGTAAAGCGAGGGCAGATTTTGTCAAATGTGCGTTTACAAATAGTTTGAATATAGGATCGAACTGTTTAACAATGAAACGCAGTTTACTGCATCAGTTATTGCGTTACGAATTTGCATTTCATAATTTGCTCTAGGAGTGTCCGTTTCTCCGTTTCCAAAATTCAGTTTCTTTTTTGTTATTATTCCTCTCAAAAAGAAAATAGTCTATTTGGGTCAGAAACCGTTTCACTATTATTTCAAAGAAAGTCTGCAAAAAGTACGAATTTATTCGTTCAACACCACACAAAATTATTGACCTTGGAAAATTCCATTTAAAAACGTCGCATTGCGTGACATGGAGTGACTGTGGCAAAAACCTTTTGAAAGGCAAACTTTGCAAATCTATCCGCTCCTCAACTTCCACCAATTTTTTTTTTTTTTTTTTACAGTGGTGTTCAGTTTTTCCTCACTTTTTTTCTGGGACTTTTTCAACTGCAAAATATTATTCTCAATATTGTGTCTATCAGCATTGTAAGTATAACAGAATTAATTAAGCTTTTGATCTAGCTCAAGATTTAAATTATTTGTTTTTCTTTCTAGTTAATACTGTAAGCAGTTAAGGTTTTTTCGGTTGGACTCGACTCTAAAAGTACAGCTTCTTATTCGGAAATTACTTCCGATTTTCTGAACTTTGATCAGTTTTGAAATTTTGTTTTCATCCTTCCACTAGAGCATTTATCTTAATTGGAGAGGAATTTATGTAAATTTACTTCAGTAGTAGTGCGTTGCGTGTTGACTTCAAGGAGAACTGCAGAAAAGAAGAGGTTTGGAGCAATGATTAAAAAAGAAAAATAGAAAATTGTAGGCAAGGATGATCTCATGTTTCTTGAAACGAAATTTAACCTTACTGAGTCCCCCTTGGAGATCACCCACATGCACAAGGAGGATTGGAAATTTTTTATTTACACAAATTTCGAGATAACAAGCCAAGGTGAAAAATGTGCAACAAAATATTCCAATCACATCTGCACCAAAGATTTTCGTTTGATATCTTAAAAAATTCCGTTTTATGTTAACCGGTCATGATTTTTTCTTCTGCACTATCAGCGTTTTCTTTATCATCAAGACAAGCCCGGACAGAACGACCAATGGATCGATAAAAATAGCAGAAAATAGATGTCCCGCTGGTGATGTAAAACCTTGGTTAATAGTTGGAATGTCTCGTCTCGTCGACGAGGAAAAATTCTGACACGATTTTAAATCACGCGTCAGAATTTTAAAATTTTTGTCGAGAGAGCTACACCACGTTCTCTAAGGGCCAGAAGCACGTACCCCTGTCATATCAAAACTGATAACATCACGCAAACTGAATTCTATTGTTTCAAGTACTGACAACCATCATTTTAAGGATTGTCACTTTAGACGAACAAGTGATGACAGCTTGGAGCAGTCCTTGAAATTGACAAGGTCGATTGCGCACGCTGTCAACATTTCATTGGTCGTCATAACAACATGTGCACATTCTGGCTCTGCTGGGCACGAAAGGTTTCGTTCCTTCGAAACAAAAAAGACATGAAATGCCCACCAGATGACGCTTGAATCTAAATACTTCCTGAGATAATAATTTTTTTTAGTTCCTGATCAGATTGTGACATCAAAGCTGCGTATTACTCTGTACATTTCCGCACAAAAGAAGATATAAACACAATAAACCGCATAGTGAGGAAGATAATCGTATCGAGCGAAACACGAACTGCGATCTTTAAAGAATATAACATTGTCTGCTTCCTTGACAGATAAGAGAATATGAATAAACACTAATCCAGTGCACACCAGATGAAATATTTAACCATAGAAAAATTTGTCGGAATTGGCGAGCCCAAACAAATATTGATACAAAATAGCGTCGGATCACCTAATCCTGTCAGGAAATTCGTTTATAACGGTCTCTAGTTTTTTTCCAAAAAAGCGCGCTTGAAACAAGTTTTCATTCTAGTTTCAGTCTCATGGGATTATTGGAATAAATCGACGAATTTCGGCTGGAAAAACTAACATTTCGCTCTAAGCGATGAGTAGCAATATCAAGTTTTGGAAATGCCCTATCGTTCGATTTGCGTAATCGAGCCGCGTGGGCGAAAATCGCGACGATTTTTTTTACGTGTTCAAGCAAGCCCACCGGATAAACGTAAACTCAGTTTGTCCCTCCCCGCCCTTGACCAAGCCTGCTTAATGTACCGTGTGCCGTAGCTCAAACAGCCCTTCATCGCCTCGACACATTTACCAGATATATCCTTTACCCCGAAAAATAATGATATACAGGGTATCTTCTCTGTGTTTATTCTATAAAAATTTGTTGCACCTCATAAAAGACGATCAATTGAGTATTTCATTAGTAAACCAAAACTTTTGCATACCCCTGTGAAAGCTGTCATTATTTTGTGTTGGCTTTCGAGTTGTCATAAAAGTTCGTCCCACGTGGAACACTGAATCCTGCGCCATGTGAATTTACACGTTATGTTTTTTCTCCTCTGATTGGTTCAGTTCTAGCCCTTTGGTCCCTCGTGATTTTTTCATTGTCCTTTGACCAATAAGATTTCAGAATTGGCGTGTGATTTCCATGACGTTTGGGCGCGTGACACATATCTTGTTTTCGTTTTGATAATATTTACCATCCGTGTACAGCACATGCAGAGAAAAATTTATCTCGTGAATTTCGCTCTTGGCTCGCTAAGGAATTCGCTTCTACAAAAGCAATGAATATCGAACAGCTTCTAGAAGCTGCTAAAATCATCGAACAAAGAGATGAAGGTACCTTTTGCTTGTTTCTGAGAGAAAATTCGTAGCACATGTTGTTCTCACGCCCCGCTAATGTCCTCTTTCCGCCCCAAACTATAGCGAAGAAGCAGAGTCAGGCGTCTGTCAAACGCGATAGAAAGCCAACGAAGCGCTCACCGAGCTACAGGTAAGCATTTCACAGAGTTTTCGACGTAGATTTGAGAGAAAAAGCTTTCTTTCACGCCTTTTGCCACGTTGCATGCAATGTGTTAAAAATGTTGTGCTTGAGATTATGGCGCCCAATGTTTTGTTCAGTGTACCTAATGTACACAGCAGATGCGAAGTACTTTAACGGCCTTGGCTATCTTTTGGGCCATCGAGAGTTACTTTATTGCGTTTGTGGTTATGATCAACAACTTGAAATGAACAAGTGTTGTAAATTTCTGTTTAAAAATATCCGCCTGAAATGTATTGCTGAAATAAGCATCTTCGTGTGCTCTCGAGTCAGCGAAAGCGGACATATACAATCTCCTGCGCCGGGTATTCCCCGAGACCTGGGTGTCGTAGGTTCATCTTCACCTCAGTTTCGGTATAACGCCTGTTTGTCAGCGATGTACCATACCGGTAGTCTGTGGGCAATGTCCATAAAGTGTGGGTTTGCATTTTCGTGAGGAGTACCGCTCACGGCTTTGCTTATGTCCCTTCAACCTCAGCAACCTTCATTTATGTTTTATAAACACCGCAGTTGCCCTTCGTAGAATTTTATTCTGTCATCCTGTAAAGGCATTTTCTCATTTATTCTGGTATTATTACGGCTAGACTTGTGCTATATTAGGCTTTTTACCTATGTCACTCTACTAATGAGGAGCTTTTGTCTCTGTTTTTCCACCTTTTCGCTTTCTATGCAACCCTGTCAATGCTACCAGCCGTACGACACATAACCAGTTAGAGAAAAACCGGTAAGTATACAAAACCCACAACTTAACCTAGAATACAGTTTTACCAGCAAGTATGTTAATTCTGAAGGCAAAAGATTTTGAAGAGGAATCAATGTATTTTTCTGTTCAGAAAAGTTCGGCAGGAGGTTTCTGTTCAACAAATGTTCCTATCCTTGCCACGTGGCTCACCAAAACAACAGATTACACGTGCGAACTGCATACCAACTTGAATACGTATGCACGCATGAAACATTTTGCTTTTTTCTTTTAAAGAAAAATTTGATCCTGCACTGGTCTCGGTGAAAAATGCGAATTAATTTGGTTCTCGAATGAGCCCTATCCTGGCATAATAATTAGTGTTTTGGTCCAGCGGGGCAGATGTCCTCGCAGGTTTTGGGCGCGAAAAGATCTTTGCTACTGGCTCCTCGTGAATGTTTATGCCAGACTGCAATTATTTTGCCTGGTACCCGTCTGAAAAAATTTTCCGCCCCTTGCGTCAGAAAATTGTGACAATTAGTAAACTAAATCAGTCGATGCCTTTGGGTTTTTGCAAAAAGGTTGCGTGTTATTTGCGTTCCGCGTTTCAAGTGGTTCACTAAGGCCGTTTGAAACTGCCCAAAGCGAGTTATTGTATTCTCTTTTTTTTTTTGTACCGGCGAAATAAAAAAAATCACGCCACACTTGACCTGTCGAAAATCTCGCCGCTGTCTGTCTCGGAGTTAGTTTTCGTGGGCGTTCCTGTTTAAAAACACTAGGAAACCATTGTTGTCACTCCCAATCGCAAGTTTCATTAGCTCGAAGATAGAACCTTGTGGTAACGCAGTTCGTCTCGACATTGTATTTTTTTTATTTTGTTACAGACGGGCCCATCTTAGGGACTGCCTTGAACTACTTAAAGAATTAGTCCCTTCGCCACCTGAACATCAAAAAGCCACAACGCTAGCGTTACTGCAGAGTGCTCAGCAATATATACAGGTAAACATAGCACTTCATTTCTTCTTATTTCACATCACAACTGTGTCACTCTGACCAAGGAATTCAGTTCGCAACCGTGACCAAGGATAAGTTACAAACTCGAAATTCGCAACAATCGCTTCTAAGTAAGCCCCAAACAAACCCGTTTGGATAAGCTATGTTTTTGTCAAATGCAAATCTGTGATGATTGTAAGCTCCCGAATCAAAAAGTGGTGAAGCAGATGTTCTCCCTTGAAAAGGGAAAAACACGAAAATTTCTCGACCAAAATCAACTTGAACCTGTTTGCCTGAGTCAGTTACGTTACAAGAAAAATTTTTTTAGCCCCTTTTTTAATTTAAAAACGTCAAAGGTTGGCGTATATGTGATTTTATTGATTTTCTTTCTCCTTTTTTTTTTCAAAGAAATATTTTTATGTTAGCTTTATTCAAATATTCCTTGCATGCAAATCATTTGACAGGAGATTTCCCTATTGTCCTAGTTTGAAATTTCCAGAGGAAATGAGAAATCCTGGAAAGTTAAGAATTTAAAAGCTGTGTGAAATCTGAAATAGTTTCCAGCGAGAATTTTTTTGAAACATCTGTTGTGAAGATTATATTCAGGTCGTAAACTGGCCTTATAAGAAGAGGCAATTATCAATAGAACATGTTATGTTCTTCTTTGATTAACAAAGAGGCCTTTGAGAATGTGGAGAAAGAGAAATTTGCAGTGTTTTCATCATTCCTGAGAATTTACCTTGCATTCCATTTCATGCCCAGAATTCTGCTGGGCATGAAATGCGCATACCAACCCTTACATTAAATGTCTTGTCCAATGAATGCGGAATCTACCACAGGGATAATTTTTATAAAAGATGTACAGCTTTATTCCCATCTCCGAGAATGAAGTGTACCTACCTCACAATCCCATTTAATTTTTTTAGCTATGCAGAAACATTCTTTGAGTGATATTTTGTCTAGCTGCCCTGGTTAAGTTCTGCTGGAAGTTTCTGTACACATGTGTTAAGGGTGCACCCTTGATAGGGTCAGGGACCCTGCTGGCAGCTCTTATGGGCTTACTGTGTTGGTGTTTAGTTTGAGGCTGCTAATTTGTGAAAAATTCCAGGTGCAAAGCTCTATGAATTGTAATTAATCTTAGTTTTGAAATTCTGATGAGGCCAGATGACAAACACATGAACAAAAATAAAGTCTCAAAACTTAGAACCTTTCAAACAAGGTGGAGGAAAAAAGCATGTTCACTTCTTGTTTCTCGTGCTTTAACGTTTTTTACTTCATAATGGAATTTTTTTTTTCAATGCACCCTTTCATGTAAAAGTGTGTTGTGGGTTTTATAATAGGTGGCCTGCTGTACTTTGCATATCATAGCACAACAAAGAATGCATTTACATGTCTTTTAAAATTTTCAAACATTTCATTTCTTTAAGTTTCATTGTGTGCTGAATTCTTTAAATGGTATTGCTTTTCTTGCTGACAACAAAATCTTGCCAGTCAGTTCATGGCTTTCTTGAGTTGACAAACTGTCTGCAGAACACTAGATGGCTTGATGGTGGGTAGTTTTTCCAAGTAATTTTCAATTTTCTCTCACCTCAGCCTATTAGTGGGGAGGCCTTTAAATCTGCATTTAGAAAATGTATTATTGAGAATGGATGGTCATTTGTCAAGTGAGAAAATTAAAGTTGTCTTCAAGGCTTGTTGTTGCTAAAGAAGTGATATTTCAGCTGTTGTCACTTCCATAGAGTTGCACGATCTACTAAGAGCTTGTTTAGAGTTATAACAATAACCTGGTATTGGTGTAAAAGAGAAATTTTTAATCTGCATGCAAAAAGGAAGGCTGAAGGCCATTACCTCTGGAATATTATTGATATTGATGCTGATATTGGATTTTGAGTCACACTCGTGTTGACCTTTATTTTGCCATGTTTCTATAATTTCCTATTTCTTTAACATATTTGCAGCTTGAATTTCTCTCTGACATGAGCACAAATTAAGATTGTTTGTGGTTGAAAATGCGCAGCTGGTATTTTGTCAAAGTCCTGGCAGCTTCAAGCTCTTCACCCGTTGTGCAGCTGTCTAAATGATTTCCCTTCAACAAGATTTGACATCTGAAGCTCATAAGATATTTGAATGTAATATTACAAGCATTGTCTATTTGTATTAAAGTGCTCCAACCTCTGTCCTGTGTAAACTTTGAACTTCACCAGTTGTGCATTCATCAAAGTGTTTTTCCCTTCAGCCAGATATGACATCAGAAAATCATGAGAAATTTGAATGCAATATAACAAATTCTCCCTATTTTGCATTTAACTGTTCCAACCTCAGCCCTATGTAAACTTTGAACCTTAAAGAGCCACTCAACATGTTTGGATCTTGAATGAAAAATTGTTTTTGAATTTAAGTGAAAGCTCCAGAATTCAAGAAGAAAATTTCTGCCTTATTTAAAATACCTCGATCTTGTGTGTATTGTAGTAAGGGAGGTATTCAAGATTGACTAAACCTAGAAGTACTGAAATGGTGGTTTAGAAAGAAAAAAAAAAATTATACAATGCTGGCATACATTTATGGAGCCAAAATTTAGGGAACACGAAGACAAAATTCAACAGAATCTTTGAATTTCTGGGGGGATGAAAATTTCGGTTTTTTTGTGGAAAGTTTTTTCAGCGAAAACCTTTAATGTACATAACAGAAAAGTATTTTTTATTTGTTGCACTTCCTGTTGTTTTTCTGAAAGTGTCCATGGACATTGCACATTGCATGCTCTGATAAGTTGTCTGTAGTATATCAGTGTCTATTCCACTAAATAGTACAAATAACTCTTAAATTTGTTGTGAAACAGCTGGATGTCTTCTGTGTTGCTGAATAATATTTTTTAATCTACAGCGCTGAATGGAGGCAATTTATTTCAGGCACAAATTTGTTTCTATCGTCTATTTACCTTAATTTGTCTTTTTCACAGCCAATTACACATTAGGAAAATAATGAAGCTACATCAGAGTTGTTGGTACCTCTGTTGACTAAAAGGATGTCAGCTCTTTTAATGAGATTCCCTTTTCCTGAATGGATTCAACATGATAAGAAAGTTCAATTTACAAAATTAGATCAAAGTGAGGTGTGAAATTTCTCTTTGCCAAATGTAATCACTTTTTTCTTTTGTTTGGTGGGAAACTCTCATGTACCACTGTTGCCTGATGTGGTCCTCACGGTATTTTTAAGAATGTTTCAAAGCAAGTGTGTCATCAAAAATTATATTTTTTTTAACTCACTCAGAAAAAGAAAGGTCAACATTAATATTCTTTTGACTCGCATGCTGTTATTTTATTAATATTATGAGGATATGGGTGTTTATTTATTCTGTGAAGTAGCAACTGCTGTCAATATATATTTTTTCCTAGAAAAAATTAAAGAAACAGCTCAAAATTTGCAGCTTTTTGTAAAGAAGGAAAAATGCAAGTTCATAAAGATGGTGTACTAGTGTCTGTACCGTTTAGAGGTACCTCATAAGCCCAATGTTTTATCAAGTTTATGGGTGCAATTTAATATACAGCATATCAGGACACCAAAATCTTTTCAGCCCTGATTGTTATTTAAAGATAGAAATCAGTTGCAAGAGTTGATTAACATTTTTAATATGTTAAATGTTTCTAAACTTAATTGGTAAGCCTCTGTTGTTGTTGGACTGAATCTTTCTCCAACATTTCCGTTTGTAACAATCAAACTGTGAATTTAATTAATATGTACTTGTGAATGGCTGGATGGTTTACATAAGATACATACTGTGAGCTACAAAATACTAGAATTTGTGCATTAAAAATTTTTAATTAAAACAGGAAGATTTTTTTTTAAAAAAAAAAAACATTTTCTTGTAGATTGCAAAATTGAATCATCCATTTATTGTTAATATCTTGCAGAGATTTGTACCAATTGTAAGGTTAATTTCATTTTCAATTTTGTTGTCTCTTTTTCTTGTTTGCTGTTCTCTGAACTCAAGAAACAAGTTGGCCAAAAAAGAACTCTTAATACAAAATGTAGCATATTATCAAAATGTTTCCAGTACCACTTATTTTTGTTAAATTAGTGTAAACTGCCTGTATAAATTAACATTTAGATTAAAAAAAGTAATAATGATCCTTGAACTATCACAACTCATCCTTTTGTCCGTAGGTGGTGTTATTCATTTTTTTTTTTTCAGAGATATTGGCTGTGTATTTGTTATCACAGTAATTTGTTACTGTATTGTGTTTGTAGGTTTTACAAGTGACTGAGAAAGAAGCTATTGATACCAAGAGAAAGCTTGCTCAAGAGAGGAATGACCTTCAAAAAAGGTTAGCCCTCCTTCGCGGTGACAAGGCAGTCCCTGGAATGAAGAGGCCGCGGCACTCTGAAGGTGATTCCTCCACCAGTAGCGAGGAAATTGATGTTGAAAATGATGAGGAAGCTGGTTATGCCAGCAGTGAGTCAGATGATCGTTTTAGTACCGGGAGCAGTGTTGGAAGTGACGGGGGTTTAACTGCAAACTCAAGGAGAGTTAAATTACAGGCATGATATTCAATGATCGTATCAATTCATGTCTCCTAGAATCCTGTTTTAGTTGGTGTTTCACACCTAGGTGCTTTTAGTGGTTTACAAAATAATCCATTTGGGAATTCAGCTGGGTATGATATTGGAAGGGGGCGGGGGGGGGGACAGTGCAAATGTGGTAAGACAGATACACAAAAGCTGAGATTAATTGTGTATAAACTAGGTTGGATGATGGTGTTGTTAATGATCTTGCTTTTTGTGCAAGATAAACCATACTGTCATGACATTTTAGCTCTGAAATTAGGTCAAATCTTTGCCTTTATAACTTTCTGATAGTTGCAGCTTTGCATGTTCAAAAGCTTCCTTTCTGAAGACTTCCTTTCCTTTGCAATTTGTATCAAACATTCTTTTTGGCTTTCAACTGGTGCTGAGCTCACAGACAGCTTTAGGTAATGAGAGGGAGTTCAATGTAGAATGGTTACAGCACCAAATCTCTCTATTCAATTGACAACCATCTCATTTCTAAACATGGGATGTCAAACATTTCAGCATAGAATAATTTATGGTCTACAAGATGTAAATAGGAAAATTGAGTAAGAGGTGATCTGATCCAACCATACATCAACCATTGATCCAAAGGAGAACTACAGTATACTACTATCAAATTATTTCCTAATCATCACCGTAACTGGTAAATTATTATTCAAGTATGATGGGTGCTTTCTGCTCAAAATTCTAGCTGATGAGTTGTTTGCGTTATCTTCAAGACCAGCTGCCTCAAAACTAGGTCAAATTGTGAAAAGTAGGGCAAGATAGTAATTATTGACGCAGCTTGTAACTTATGAAAACTGGTAAAATGTCTATGCTAGAGTTTCGGGTTAACTTCCAAGCAATGCTGAGGGTGGCAAAATGACCAAACTTGTTTTATGTACTTGTTAGTTCCTCCTTTTGTTTTGTGGTGAGTAGATTTGTAAAACCTTAATACTTGGCAAAATCACAAGTTTGTGTATTCCCTTATTTGCCTCAGTTGAGGTGACATAAAAATTCAAGGCAGACATCCCACAATGCAACTTTCTTGCATTTTTGAGCTGTTGCTAACTGTCAGACATCCCCTCATCTGGTAAGATGTTTTTGCAATTGTCTCGACTTGTGTTCAGGAATGCACAGCCTTGTGGGTGCAAGATACCCTTCTTTCTGAAGGGTTCTCAATTGCCTTGAATGTTGCTATTTCTCAGTTCAAACTTGTTGCCAAAAAAAATCCCTTATAATAATATTCTGTAGATAATTGTAAATTTTTACTCTCTCCTGTAAATTCTCCAGGGTTAATTATCAAATATTATATATTAAATAAGTATCTCTATTTATGATGTGGGGTCTTGGAGAGCCTAAAGGCAGATGTGAGATGCTCATGTCTAGTATACAATCACTTTTCCGTCTGTGTAACTAATAATCTTGGATGGTGGTTCTTGTATTTTTAATGTGATCTGTATATAATGTGTATTTTTGAACCAAGAAAAGTGTACCTAAAATGACATTTTTATAAATTATTATTGGCAGAGTTTTAAGGAATAATAAAGCATGTTTTGAACATCTTTAACCTCTTGTCTCCTGCTTTTTGCTTCTGATTGAGATGTTGGACTGGTTGGANAAAAAAACAAAAACAAAAACTGTGCCTGAGGTCTTGAGGGCTTCACTTGCGACCACTAGTACAATTTTTTCCCCATACAGACCAACCTAGTCTGGTAAATAACTTATTTTCTGCCAAATTCTTGGGTCAGTACATCCACTTAATTTAAGAGCATTACCACTGAAAACATTAAAACCCCATCGGCCATCAAGTACATGTGGTTTACTGGGTGTAGAATCCAAAAAAAAAAAAAACGTGGCAGAACAACACGATCACTAAATGACACATGTTACAGACTTCATAAGAGCTGTCTTGGTTTAACAGTTGTTTTAAAGGTGTTAACCACAAAACTTTGGTGGTTTGCTTGAGAACTGAACTCAACCAATCAGAGGCTTGCACTTTCATAGTTTGACATCGAGTGTCCTCATTGACTGGTGATAATAGAGAGAATTAGCACTGCATTGCAGAAAACCTTGCTGCTTTAGATGTGTGCAAGTTTATACATATGTTTATTGCAACTCCCAAGCTGGGTTTTTCAGTTACAAAGCCTACATAAATTATAGTAACATTATATTGGCCTAAAATTATCTATAAGAAAATCTAAAGCTAATACAATTTAAATACAAATCGCCTGTACACGTTAAAAACACTGGTGAACTAATCCATCATAATTATTATAATGGATTTAAAGACACCCATGTATAACTTCCAAGGATTAGTTTAGATGACCTTTTTCTGTCAACCAACTTCTACTCCAACAGAAAAAGTGAAGAAAATCTTACATGGCAAATGCAAAACAGCTTACTTTCCTGTAGAAATGGCAAAGCACAGCCAGCAAACAAAAATTGTGGGAACAACAAGGTCACTCTTGGTGTTCACATCTCTAATTTCCTTTATTCTGATTGGCTGAAGATTACTGAGGTTCTGACTCTATAATGAAACTAGTTGATAATGAAAGATACTTAACAAGTAACAAACTGTATTTTAATGCAAAACAATATCTTTGAGAAAAAAAGATAAGAAGTAGATAGTGAATGCAAATACAACAATAGCATTTGCTTTTAAAAGTTCTGACTAAAATTTGTTATAAATTATTGATCTTGGGTAAGGTTAGTCTCCAGAGACATTGCAATGTTTCAAGTTGCACTTGATTCCCTAAATTGTAATTTAAGAAATTTCAGCAGGCTCTATGAAGTGTCTTTTCAAATGTTTCATCATTCCAAATGTTAATATCCTTTTGCGACCTGGAAGACAAAATGGTTTTAAAGGAACAATTAATAGACCAAGTTGAAAAATGTACTTTAGTTTTCACAACAACCCAAATCCTATTTTTTTACCCTTCGACATTGATTCAATCTCAGTAGATAATTCTGCATGCAAATTATGAGCTGCTCCATGATCTTACCTTTAGGTAGCACTAAACTGACAATTACTTTAAAAGGGAAGGGAATGAATAATAGTCAGATGGGAGAGTTGCCCAATAAATCAGGTCACCAGGGTTTAGGGAAAAAGTTGTGCTCAAAAAAAAAAAAGAGAAAAAAAAAAGAAAACTGCAATGCAACATCTATTAATCAAAATTAATGGTTCTGTCAGTAATTCAAAAGCTGTTCTGTTTTCATTCAAGATGGGGATTTCAAAAGTTTTGAAAAGAATACAATAAAACTTTCAGTTAAAGAAACAAAATCAACTGGTTTGAGTGCCCGAACCTGCTTTTCTATTCTTTCAATTTTGATTTTAAAATGTGGCTTTGGGTCTGTTAAGTTACCTGAACTTTCAAGAAACAGGCTCCTGGTCACCACCGGGCCCAAGGTGGTTCAATAAACAACACACTGGACTAATGAGAGGAAGTCAAGGATGAATTATGTCCCAAGCTATAGATAACAAGTCTTAATAAAAGTAACTACATGTCGGAAAAATATAATTGATTTCTTGATAACGGTATTTTGTTGGTTAGACGTTCTTAGACTAGAATCCTTTGATATGGAATGCATTTCACTTCATTCAGTACATCCCAACATGGGCAGATGCTTGATTAAAAGAAAAATTAAGACAGTTGCATATACGAGGTACAATTATTGGCAATCTGCCACTATTCTAGGTATCCATACGTACCAAACACTTGCTGCAGTTGTTCATCACAAATTGTAAATCTTTTATTTTTAGGATCCTGAAAGAGAGTAAACAAGTTACTGCAGAGAACACCTAAATAAAATTATAAACTCAAGCCTTTTTGCTCTCCACAAAGGGCTCACACTAGAAAGGTCAGCTCAGAAACTCTTTACAGTGGGCATTTCACATTTTTAACTCAATCCCAGTTGATAAATCCAAATTACCGGTATCTTCAAGTTGTAATATCTGCCATCAGGGTTCTTGCTACTTTTTTTTTTCATAGGGGGTAAGAAAATAAATAGCAGGTAGCTTTGTCACCTTCCCCCATACCATGGGTGTGCAATGAATGCTGGGCATTTTGCATTCTGTAGCAAAAAGAATGAAGAATGGAAAGGAAACATGGTTGAGGTCATTTTGCAAGGTGACTGCACGGGATGAATTTGGTCAAAACAAGCCAGATATCTTCAACATATGATGTATTATGAAACCAATAACATGTGATACATATCTTCACAACATTGGTTGAAAGGAGACAACTAATATTTTTCCAAAAAGTTGGAAAAATTGTGGGATAACTTCAGTTGAGATTTCATTTCTGGGTTTCAGTGAATTAGCCAGTAACATTTACTTGAACAGTTGGTATAAATAAGCGGTTACCAGCTCTTAACAAGAACCCAGCCCAAACAATGCACCAATGCAGTTTCTTCAAAAACTCTCTCCATTTTAGAGCACAGCATTCATTATGCATTAATTTTCATCACCTCTAGTTTTCGCTCCTTTATAATTTCCCACATTTTCTTCACTACATCACTCCTGGCCATCTAAATAAGAGCGATAAAATATACAATTAACAAAACACGACAAAGGTCTTTTTTAAAATGATAAACTGGTACTTAGTGTTGTTTTATTCACTCATAGAAAAAGGTTCTGCTGCTGCAGGAACTGAGTTTTGTAATAAATTAATGATCAGTTAGGCACAAAAATAACTTATGAGCTAAATAGAAGGAAAGGGAAACTGAAAACAGGAGATTAGCCACCTTCTATTCACCCACCTCTTTCGAAAGTAATTTTCTTGTATGATACAAATTATTGCTCAACATCTTGGCAGATCACATTTTGACAAGAGTTTCAAGAGTGATGTCATTCAGTAGTGAAGCCAAAGATTGCCAGTAGAACAACACCCCTCAAAGTTTTTCATCAGGTTACAAACACTCAGACATAAAGAGAAACTTAAAACTGGAATGCAGATTTAACAATTTCTTACTCACCTTTTCTTCACCAACAACTTCTGCAAGTTGTGGTGACAACAGCAGTGGCTTTGTAAACCCTTGAAGCAAGCAGAGAAATGAAGAGTCAGCTCATATCATATGTCTCATGTGAAGACTTTCAGCTTGATTTGCCAAAATGTGAGCAGAAGAATGGGACTTTTCTTCAAAAACTTACATTATTCTCACCTCTTCTCTCTCCACTGCTTTCTTTAGGTTTCTTAGCTTTTGCTGGCTTTCTCCTTTCCTAAAAGTGAAATTCCAGAAACATATAATATTATAAAATAATACAGGTTTTAGAAATACAATGAACAATTTTTTCCCTTGCCAGCTGGAAAACTGCAACGGTAACAGCAGAGAACCCAAATCCATCCCATTATGTTGTTAATTCCCAGAATTGATTAACATGTTACTTCTCTCTTTTATGTCCATACAGTATCCAGCAAACTTAAGGATTATTGACAATACTCAAAGCTATCACAAACAAGTTGATCTAACACCATATTCTCATAACTAATTCATAAGGAAATGTGTTGCAGCTAGAGGAAAGAATCCTCTTACTTTGGTACCATTGGAAACATTGACGCCAGACCTCAAAGTTCATCGCAAGCCTCTTGAGGAAATGTCACTTGTAGAACAATTGAAGCATTCATCAATGCACCAACTAATCTGCAGCTGAGCGTAGAACCTCAATTTAACAAAGTGTCAAGGGAACTGGGGAAATTGGTTTGTTATATCAAGAGTTCGTTATATCAAGGTTCTGTGGCATACATTTTACAGTAACTTTAGCCAGAAGAATCATTTGTTATACCGAGGACTTCGTTATAGAGAGGTTCGTTAAATCAAGATTCCACTGCACGTGTAGCAATTAGATCTTGGGAGTTAGAAGGTATTAAGGTATAAGTGTCACACTGAGATCTGCGTAATTGTAGCAGTGCCATGGTCACATGAGTGAATACTAAGCTACATGAACTATTTATGTCCAAAAGCTTATTGGTACAGCATCCAAGGCACAAACTGAAATATCTTATTTTTGAGTCTTATTAGCAATGCTTAGAATTTATTTTCTCCAGGCTGTGCCACAGCTTGGCATGTAAATGTAACAATTTGCAAGGGTGCCATTTGAAAGTGTTTCCTCTACACAATCATTGACCCCCTTTTCTACCCAGTAAGTAGTGAGCACCCAATTTCTCCGAACAAAATCACTTCTGAATCAAACAATAAAGGTAATGATTACAAACTCGCTCTCTTGATTGCTTGCCAAATTATCATTTTAAGTACCATTAGAAATCTATCAAGATCAGTAAGGAGAACTCATATACTGATGTTAGGATGTAAAAGGTTTACACACACTTTCTTAGGTCTAGTTAAAATTGATTGGAATCAAGCACAAACTCACTACTGGTCTCCTTGCTGAGCCTCCACTTGGTGGCTTTCGTGATCGCTTATTTTTTTCATCTTCATGAAGTTTGCGAGCTAGTTCTTCATCATCTAAGACATGAGTTTCCTGTAGGAAAGAAAAATGTTTCATCAGTAACACTTAACTGATTATTTTTTTAAATTTCACAATTAAGAAGGTCTCAGGATCTCATATTCATTGTCTTGTATCACTTCATTTGATACCATAAAAGGTAAAATGATGGTAAGCTTTAAAATTCAACAACTGCATTTCCTTGTATAAGCACCCACGCCCTAACTTAAAATTTTGGCCAAAGAGAGGACCAAATCTTGGAAGGAGGGTGCTTAATCAAGGTGAATGTTTAAAAAGAAGCTATTCACCCAGACTGATTGCACTGTATAAAGGCGATAAGTTTCTAATTAAAAGAAACTGCGGTGCTGTGTCAGTGGGGGTAACTGACATTTTGAGTGTTAGCCCTTCATCATTTGCTCTGACGAAGAGCTAACACTCAAAACGTCAGCTTTTAACTCTATACAGTGGCCAATTTACAATTTTAACCTAGTTGATATTACTAAATTGATCGCGCTATAGTTGAAGCTTATTCAAGGAAATATGGTATGTTACTTAAAGTGCAGCTAAACCCCAAATTTTTTTTCGCTTAACAAAATAAGCATATTTTTTGGAGTATTTCTGTGCAAAATTTTTTTTATTTGCTCAAATCTTCAATTTTCTGTGCCCAGTCAAAATACAGAAAATCGGCTGCCATCTTGCCCCACGACCGAGTTTAAAGAGGAATGGCTCTAGCGGGTAATGCGACATCAAATCGAGAACACGAAAGTCTGCATTTCACACACTTTCACTTACTTGGTAAGGTTGTAGTGGATATCGTCTGAAAATATGCCGACTAAGTGTGTTGTAGGAGGATGTAGCAACGTGCGAAATTTGCAAGAGGGTATCGCGCTTCATACATTCCTCAAACAACAGACCTAGTCAGCATATTTCGAACAATATTGACAACAACCTTCCCAAACAAGTGAAAATGTGTGAAATGCAGACTTTTGTGTTCTCGATTTGACGTCACATTACCTGCTAGAGCCATTCCTCTTTAAACTCAGTCGTGGGGCAAGATGGCGGCCGATTTTCTGTATTTTGACTGGGCACAGAAAATTAAAGATTTGAGCAAATTAAAAAATGTTTGCACAGAAATACTCCAAAAAATAAGCTTATTTTGTTAAAGCGAAAAAAAAATTGGGGGTTTTGGTTCACTTTAATAGTCCAATCTTGATTATCTGGACTTGTTGGGACTAGACAAAATAGTCCAGATAATCAAGGGTCCAAATAATTGAGAATATGAATATTAGGGTCCAGATAATCGAGAATATGAATATTAATGAGGAACAAAAACTGATGGAATTAAAAAAGTAACATTTTATTGAATGAATGGATTGCTAATGCTTCAAGGGCATGATCACGAATAAACAGTTGTGACCCTGTGTAGCTTGTTCATCTTGCATACCATGCTGAACAAAGCAACTCTAAGCCAATCAGAGCTCATTTGAATGTTCTTCATTAGTTACCACCTGTGTGAGCCCTTCTTTTGCTTTTTAAAAGAGAAACAAAGTTGCCTTTACTTCAATTTTCAACGCCGTAGTTTTAAAAAGAATATGGCCACTGACCTTGATCATGACTAATAAATATTCACAACAAAATTGGGACCAGAAGAAAGTCCCTATAATCAAAAAATCCATATATTTGAGGTCTGAATAAACAAGGTTCAACCATATTAGCAGAGCTCGACACTAACTTTTCAACTTGCTAACCAAGTGGCTAGTGATGTTATGACAATGTCAGTTTGTTTACTAGCCAAACCAGCTAGTGGAAATCGAAAACCACTAGCTAAAGGTGAATTTCTACTAATCTGTGGCTAGTGGGCTAATGTTAGTGTCGAGCCCTGATTAGTATTTTAAAATACTCACATCATCACCATCATCATCACTGCCCTCATCGCTTTCACTGGACTGCTAGTCAAGGACAAAGTAAAATCAACTTAATTTGAAAAAAGAATTCTGATACTCTTAACTTGAAAGAATTATAGAAAAGAGATCTATTGATGGAGATAAAACAAAGAGCAAGAAACTGACAGAACCAAATGCCAACTTAATTGGAAAGTTGCTGACAAAATTACTTTAAATAATACATTTCTCTTAAAAATTTACCTTCTTGTTATACTGTTTCCTTTTCTTTGGTGAGGGTTCATCATCCTAAGACATAACAAATTGTAACCAAAAGGATTTCAACAACTGTAAAACACAGTGTAGTGGTTAGAGGACTCATCATGACTCTAACCCGAGGGGCAAATTTTTAAAATTACATTTCTGAGGTCATCAATGATGGGTCCCAAAAGTTCCAGTTTAGGTCCATTGTATTGCTTAAAAATTTGATTTTTAGCATGTCTCTCAAAAAGATTGGCATAGCTAGGTCCTGTTTTTGTTCACATATTCAGTCCATTAATTTGTTTGAAAAAATTTGCAAAGAATAAAAAGCAATAGGTTTTAAGCCAGCTACTAGAACAAGCAGGCTCAGACACAGAAAATAAACTCGCGAGTTAAATACAAATTCTTGAGTCATACTTGTCTAATCATTAGAGAAGTAAAAGTATTACTATGGTTACATATGGGAAAACATTTCCCCCAAAACAAACTTTCTTTTTCCCTGATAGTTTTGCCAGGAGCTAACTGCATTTAAAGTACCATTTCTGATGGTGTGATATCTTCCCTTTAGAATAACATTAGAATGTAGCGTTGAGTTCAAAGTAAAAATGTGGCTAAATTACTATCAAGGAAATGCAAAAGTTAATGATTTCACATTTCTTTCTGTATAGGACAGCTCGGAGAAGTATAAAGTTAAAATTCATGTACTTTGCTACTGTTTTGCTCATTAGATCTTCTATTTAAATAAATAAATAAATAAATAAATAAATAAATGATTTAACAATGGACATCCACTGGGTGGCTATTCTTGTCCACTGTTCCAGATCGAATTGGAATTTGAAATTGAATTTGGAATTTGAATTTGAATTTGGAATTTGAATTTGAAATTTGAAATCTATTTTACTACATGTAGGTTCTTGTTACCAATTCCATCATGGTTTTATTAAAATCGCTATTGCAAACACTCTTACCTCTGATGATTCTTCGTCTTCTTCGTCATCCTGTTCCTGTTTCACTCCATTTACTTCAGAGGTTCCACTTTCCTCTTCTTTATCATCTTCACCTTCTGTTGACTTTTCCTGACTTGTGATCATGTCCATCATCATTTTATCAATTTCTTTTTTACTACAGAAAATGTATTTTGACATTTGCGAGTGAACCACTAAGCTCATCAGCCACATCTTGCATATAACCACAAGGTTTATGACAAACTGTGCACTTACCCCACCCCTAACCAAATATTAACTGTAACTTGTGTATCAATTGACCTTTATTGCACTAGGAGAGGGGTAGGTGCAAGGTCCTTTAGATACTGATTTGATCCATAAGTATGTATTAGGTTTTTTAGATTCTTAATCTTAGAGGCACGTACGTATTTTGAACGAGCTCTATGAGCTCCTTGATGCTACGTGGGTAAATAAAGTATTGATTGACATTGATTGATTGACATAATGAATGTAGGGAAAAATAATTTACCATGATTTATAACCTAGTCAATTTATTCTTACTTCCCACAAGTATCATTTTCATATCAAATCATGAAAAAAAAACTAAAAGCTTAACAATTAAGTAGTCAAATAAAATCATTTTTTTAAACGGTGAACGAAGGACCGATAACTCTACTGTCATATCAATGGAGCGTTAATTGCAGAATTAATTAACTAAGGAATCTGAACATTTATCGTGGTAAAAAATACAATCAAAGCTTAACACTGACCCCGACGGAATCTGATGAGATTTTGTGCATTGTCGGGTTTAGTTTTTCCTAAATAAGTTTATCTTATCTTTAAATTAACGTCCAGTTTACCACGTCTCCCGGCAACAGTTTTACTAGAGAAGAATCAATTCATTCCTTTCTCAGGGACCCAAATGTTTTAACTGGGAAAAATAACAGAATATACTTTGGATTCTAAAGTCATTCATTAAGCTGTATGTCGCATTTTCTCTGCGGAACACACGTTCTTGGTTCAAACTAAATGCTTTATTTTTTTCCTTGCCATAATTTCGTCTATGTAAGCAACTAAGGTGAATTGAAGCTAAAACATAAGTGTTTTCACACTTACCGGGCAAGAAAGCTGACACCAAATTTGACCTCAAGTTGACCGCGAACAATTCTTGACGTTAGCTGAGAGAGTTCACCATCGCGTAAAATGTCTGGAAATCAAGATATGGTAGAGCTTTTAGCCTTAATTTTTCTATTTGTGAAAATTCTTTGACATAAGCTTTCATTGGCCCTGATAGAGTTGAATACCTGCCAAAGCCGACTTGATTTCTGCATCCGATGGTGCGGCCATTATGTTTGTTGTTGTGCCATGTGCAATGAGCCAGCATGTAATTATAGCCGTGATCAGCGGATGATAGGACCCATCAAATTATAAATTAGGTTGTAGGGCGACGTAGTTTTGGAGGGAATATGCATATATGGGACATTTCGTGGCCCACTGTTGGCCAACTTGTAGATATAGTATATCTAGTATTGATGCTTGTGAACTTGTCATAAGTGGTCTTACGAGGCTGTTTTTATATCACAAAGTCAATGCTTTATTTGTTCGCTTTTGTTGCACTCAAAGAGATTTTTCCGCGAGGAAAAATTCTGATATAAATTCTGCGTCGGTGCAGTGGATGTCACTGCAAAATTATTTTGCAATTTTTCTCGTCTTTTGTAGTATTACGGGAAGAACTGATAAAATTGTATCTCCGGATCTACTGGGTATAATTCGCTGATTCAAACGGTAAAATGGTGTCTCTTCAAAGAAACAATTTTTCCTCTAAGTTTTTTCATGATGTGTCTGTCACTCTTTTAATGATGATATTTCTGCAAGGAATTTTTTTTATTATTTTAATCACGCGCAATCCTGAAATGACTGTGAGTTGTTCATCGTCTCCTGCAGTTTTCTGTAGTGTCACGGCAAGAACTGAAAAAATAATGCGCTAGTGGCTATGAGGCAGAAATTACAAAAGGAGAGAAGTCAAATGTATATATATCGAGCGCGAATGTCGAACCTATACAACGAAAAAAAGAAAAAAAAATCAGTAAGAGGCCTGACCGGGATATATTGGGTCAAAATATTGGGTCAACATAGGAATTCTTTTGTTACTTACCATCACTCATCTCAATAACATATGTGGCTTCCTATTGAATGCAGTAGCCACAAAAATGAAAATGTAAAATCATCTCGGTTTATCGTAGACATTAATGCAACGGAACCACAAAATTTTTCCTACTAAAATCTCCACAAACATGTCTCCGACCGAACTAGAAAATAATCAGTTTTAGAAACCAAACGTGTCATAACTCTATTAAAGTTCCTTATTGGAAAAAAAAAAACAAAAACAAAAAAAAACAAAGACATGCTGATAACGGTGAGCAATGCTATTTTTATAATAGCAAACATGACGCTCGTTTTTCTAAATTGTGCCAAAAATCATGTTAGGACAATCTTTCATGGCCTACTCGCTGCGCGGTTTATATCCACTCCTAGCCATGATGTGAAATTGTTAATTATTAAACATGAAGGGTGTCTCCACAGGGGTCGGTGTTAGGACCCCTACTTTTCCTAATTTATATAAATGATATATCTAATAGTTCTAATCGATTTAAATTTTTACTTATTCGCAGATGATACTAATCTCTTATATGCTGATAAAAATCTCAAGTTATACTCGAAACTATAGTTAATGCTGAACTCTGTAACATCTACGATTGGTTAATCGCTAACAAGTTATCACTGAATATAAAAAAATCTAACTTTGTTATTTTTCGGCCTAGACAGAAAAAACTGAATCACCAAATAAATTTGAGAATCTTTGACCATCATACTAACAGTTATATTTCTCTAGAACGTAAGGAATTTATTAAATACTTAGGAGTGCTTATTGATGAAACTCTTTCATGGGGTCACCATATTGCTCATATTGCATCCAAAATAAGTAAATCAATCGGCGTTATCTCTAGACACTTTGTACCCCTTAGTGCTCTAAACCACATTTACATGTCATTTATCCAACCCTATTTGTTGTATGGTATAGTCGCGTGGGGTCAAGCTGCAAAAATTCATAGAGATAAAATTCTAATCCTTCAAAAACAAGCCCTTCGCTTAATGTACTTTGGTGACTACAGATCTCATGCAATCCCGTTATTTGTTTCTTCTCGGTTTCCTTCCTTTGGATACGCTTTACTTTAAATCAGTTGCCATCATGATGCATGACATATCCAATACTTTGTCACCTTCTAACATATCTAACTTATTCACTTATCAAGCTAACATTCATCCCTATAAGACAAGATCATCTTCAAGAGGCGACTATTTTGTTGAAAGTTCAAGATTACATATACAAAAAAAGGTATTTTCAAGAAATGGTGTTAGAATCTGGAATAGCTTGTCTTGCGAAGTGCGCCAGCTATCAAAATACAATTTTAAGAGTAAAATTCATGATTTCCTCCTCCAGAGACTCGAAAAACATGACGATTATATTGATTTGTCTACTTTGATAGCACAACTATAAGACCCCGGCTTGTTCTGTTCTCTTGCCGTATCTTAAATGTATTATGTAGTTGTAATTTGTCTAGAATTTTGAATCTCTTGCTCCGTAAATCTTTTTATTTTATAATATACGTATTAAACACTGCCCGCCTCGAGTAGCCTTTGCTAACTGCGAACAGTGCATATTTTTTGTAATATTGTAATATATTGTAATACATTTGGCAATCTGTGACAACAGATTCCCGCCAACTTCTCGCACCCAGACTCCCAGCTGATTGCTTTGTCTTTGTATTTCTTGTGTACGTAAAGTAAGACGAAAGTAATGACAGTAGTGCATAAATGACCATAAATAAATAAATAAAATCTCAGTCTCTTACACAGACCATACACGGCCAAACAGTTGCCAAAATTTCAGTCACAGTAACACGGAAGGATCTGGGTACGAGGTAATTAGCCTCATTTTAACCCAACGCGTAGACGTGTAAGGAAGTGGTCATTATTTATCGTCTGGGGTAGGGCTGGAGGATTTTGGTCGTGTCACGATAAAATTTACCTGAACCCCTCCCCCAAAAAAAATTAGGTTCCGTGATATTCTTATGATTTCTTTCATTGGCAGTCAAATTTCTATAGTCCCCTCTTTATACTTAAATGGCGACGATTGATCCCCCTCGTTGCCCCTTAAAATCATTCGATCTCTAGCTCTCTTACGATCAAAAAGACTTAGTTTGTTTGTCTAACCTTGAGTGTTTCACATAATAGTTACCTCTTGAAGATGATCTTGTACTATATGAATGAATATTAGATTGGGAAGCAAATAGGTTAGATATACGGTAGGTGTTAAGCCATTAGATATATCATGCATTAGAATAGCAACCGATTTAAAGTAGAGTAGATCGAAGGGAAGAAAGCTAGAGGAGAAAAATGAGGTACTGCATAAGAATTGAAGTCACCAAGGAACACGAGGCGGAGAGCGCGTTTTTGAAGAATAAGAATTTTGTTTTTGTAAGTTTTAAAAGCTTAGCCCCAAGCGACTATGCCACACAATAAGTCAGGCTGAATAAGAGATATGTATATGTGGTGTAAAGTATTCAGTGGTACAAAGTGTCTAAGGCTAGCAATAATGCCAATTGTTTTACTTATTTCTAGAGCGATGTGGGCGATATGGTATTTCCGAGAAAGATTTTCATCAATAAGCACACCTAGATATGAGGGTCTTAATGGGGTTAACCGATAGGCGTAAAATGGCCAAAAAAAAAGTCGATAGCCGTAAAAATTAAAAAATTTTAACCGTTAGCCGTAAATGGGGTCAAAAGAGGTAACCCTAAAAAAAAATTGTTCCCTAAATTTCTTAATTTTAAGGAAGGTGCTAAACTTACTTATGACCTGTTTCATTTCTTATTTTGCTGACTTTGACTCCGTACATGTCGTACATGTGGTTCATACGTTTATAGGCCAAGCTCGTTTCAAGGACCCCCGGTAGTCTCCCTTGACCTCACTTGGCCTGCGTTTTGTAGGACAAGTTGACAGCTTTTTGTTTTAAGATCTCCAATTTCTTCACCCAGTGTGCATGTGAGTTGAACGATGTCGGTATTGAAAGCTGTTGTTAGTTTTTATCGAACGGGTGAGGAAAGGCCAAGCGAAAGATACAAGGCAAGACTCAAAGTCCAAGAAGAGCATCGGACACTTTCAGCGTTCAAGAAAAACGTTATTGACTTTCTTGGTCTTAACGAGCAAGCCAGGAAGTTCGGTCTTGGGCAATTTGACCTTAAACTTTACCGCCTCGCCAAAATCAGCGGCAAGATAGAAAATTATTCTTTATCGACCCAGCAGCAGCTAGATCTGGAACTACCCCTGTTGCTTGACTCAGATAGTGAAAGCGAGCTGAACAGTAAGTACTCTTAAAGTTATGAATTTTGTACGTGACTACTAGGATGCCGCGTGGCAAGAAATTTTTGCGGGTCTTTTATCTTGCGGATTGCAGAAACTAAATTAGCTCCCCACATGTTTGGGGAGCTAATTGTTTCGATAGCGAAAGACTGGTTTTCTTACTGAGGATTAATATTTGTTATTTTCAGGAGATCGCGAGCTTGAAATACCTGAGTAAAGCAACTAGCAGAGATGTCACTGTTTGCAAAACGCTTACTGTTGATCACTAAGGCATGGGTCGCACTTGGCAAAGTTTGGTGTGAATGTGGTCACTTTGGTGTAAAAATCTGTCATCGGGGCACATTGCCTAATGCGACCCTAACTTTTCCAGTTCGCAAAAACTTTGAAAACCGGCCAAAACATCAAAGACGCCGTAGTGCTTAGGTGGCGCAGGTAGATTGTGTATGGCCTTGTATTGAATCCTTTTTCGTAGTTCACAGTTCTATGCGTAAAATAATATTAGAAGTGGTATGATTTATCAAATACTAAATTTTTTCAAAAGAAAAACTTATTTAAGCCTGAGATGACCATAACACCTTTATTTTGCTTTAAAGATTAAAAACACACAGGTTTATTAATATTTAACCTTTTGGAACCAAAGAAATTAATTTTTAACTTTTTTGTTAACCGTTACTGTAAAAAATTAACCGATAGCCGTAAAAGAGCCAAAATTTTAGCCGATAACTGTAAAAGCCAGCACCCCATTGAGACCCTCAGATATTTGACATAATTTTTGCATTCTAAAGAAATGTGCTGGTTGTTATGATGGTCAAGTACTCTCAAGTTGACTTGGTGATTTAACTTTTTTTGTCTTGGTCTTAAAATGACAAAGTTAGATTTCTTTATATTTAGTGATAATGTATTTGCGATCAGCCTGTTATAAACCGATATTCGTTAGCACAGTGGTCAGAATGTCGTTGCACCAGGCGCAGCCTAGTGAGTCCGCAGCAAATTTTGACCACGGTGTGTGGCAAATATGTCCGTCGATAAGAGTACAGACCACACTAAACCACTGTAGATTTGTTTTCTACCTAAATATCGACGTCAAATATAACGATTTTTTTACTGCGTGATACGTTGCGTGACATGTTGACGCGGTGTCTGTGCTCAACCGCGGCAGATTGGCCACGGGGGGAGGGGGAGGGACTCCCTTATAAAGGCTTTATGGGGACGTGCGGCCAGCCAGGGTATGTTTTTCGAGATTTTTGTCTTAAACAGGGTATCGAATTTATCACTTTTTGTCTTAATCAGGGTATCGATTTATAAATTTTTGTCTTAAACAGGATATCTGATTTTCGCTATTGCATAAATAGCGCTCTCTACTGCGAGGATCGTGCATCATACGTATTTAATACTGCAGTTCAAAATATATGAACTTCATATATACATTATATAGGTTATCTTTTCTTGGAAGATAAACAGCAAAATTTTTACAAGCTCTAATTTTAATTAATATTGAATTCCGTTGATTTTGGCATTGATACCAGGCACATTAAATGTCTAAAACAAGGTATCAAAAATCGGAATTCTGTCTTAAACAGGGTAGGAAAATCAGCGATATTTGTCTTAAACAGGGTCAGGGTATGAGGGGCCGCGCCGCACCTCCCCACCCAGGAATATATCGAGTACCCCTCCCCCGGGATTGGCCACTTATGCCAATTGTGGTAAATTAATACATTTTCCGTTACATAATCCTCTTTTAGGCCTCATTTATATGGTCTCGGGTACCCGAGACAACCCCACCCCCGAGTTACCCCTGGCGAGCTAACTTTTGACTTATCTCTTTCCAAATTCAGCAGCCCGTTTACATGAGGTCGTGAACTCGTCTCGGGTAACCAGAGCACATGCGTATTACAGCTATTCTTTTCTTGTCGTACGCCACTCTATCGGCCTGGCCCTGAACAAGGGTTAGCGGATGTCAAATTTCATTTTAACGCTTCGTACCCGAGACCATGTAAATGGAGCCATAGTCATAAAAAAATATGTACTGATTATGAGTGATGGTTGTAGTTCTAAGTGGAGTACAATTCGGGGAGTAATGAAATTGGTCGAGTGCGACTTAAGTAAAACAAAATGTAAGAATCCTGAATTCTGAAAGGATAAATTACCTCTGCTTCAGCCGAACCGAAACAGAAATTGCGGAAGAATTTGATTATTTTCCCATAAGGAAACAAACAAAGCAAGCACGTACATGGACAAATTAAGGAAGTGACCGGCTTGACTCACAAAAGTGACCAAGTTCACATAATAAAAGCTGAAGATGATACACATTAAAGAAGAGAGGAAATCAAGTACAGTTACATTTGAACAGTCGCTAGGCTTCCGAGAATATCTTTGGTCTTTAGTGTAGAACTTGCAATGGCTTTCTTTACAGCGGGCTGATCGATCAAATCCGTGGTTGCGTGACTCACCGGGTTTCAACCAAAAGGACATTCAGATACAGAGGATGTTTACCGCTTCTGCCTTTCATAGATCGCTTCCTTGTTTTAGCATTTAAAAGAGAGAAATCATCCCTCAAAACTAAGACTAAATTCAGGGAATGAAACTACAGACCACAGAGGCGAATCTAAATTTGTGGTTGACTTCAAACATGGTAAGCATGAGTTTTATAGCGAGCTGGGGGTTTTAAAAATGTGCTATGTCATGAAAAAAAAAATTGTTTTTTCAACATCGCTCGCCAACGAGTCTGAAATTGTTTAATATAGCTTATTTTTTGTTTTCTTGATTATTTTTTTTAGAAACTTTCATCAGCTCTCGTTGCCAGTCTTTTGCTTCTCTGCGTATCACAAGCAATTGCTTTAGTGGTAAGCGTTTATTCTATGTTCTAAACAGATAAAAGCAGAACGACAATTTTGGTTGAATGATTTGCCGTGATTGTTTAAGTGTCATGTCTTCTCGGAGAGATTGAAAAAAACCTCTCCATTCTTAGCAGAAGACTCATTTAGATGGCGACTGACTAGGAACCAGAGTTCATCTTTGCTTTGGCTATTAAGAATCTACTTCGGAAATTAGAGTGCTAAACGCTTTGGGAAACTGCAAGTTAATCATTTTACAATTTGGCTTCGATAAGTATAATTTCACAACGACTGTTTTAGATTCCAAACACGAAAACGATAATGGATGACAGAATTTTGCCAAAGGAGTATAATCCTCGCCCAAAGGGAAGTGAAACAAAGCAAACAGAGACAGACGAGGGAAGCGATCTGGAGTATTTCCATGTCCCAGCTGATAAGCTGGGAAATGCAGCAGCTGACTATTTGGTGGATTTCAAAACTGTAAGTTGTTTGATTCATTTGGTTTCATTCAGTTTTACTCATTCTTAAAAGAGCCATAAAACAGTATGTGTGCTCTTTGTTCGTTTCTTAGAAATCTTTATGAACTTTTTGACTGCTTATGATACGTTTTAGAACGAGTTCCTTCGGCGCGTCGACACAGCCGGTGCTTGCTATCTTGGATCACTGCCGGATAAATTGCCAAAAGGAAGTGACCTACAGACTGCATTTAGTGAGGTAAGGGAATAGTCGCAGGGAAACGTCAGTTTTGGTCGCATAACAACTTAGATCACATAGAGAAAGATCTATGGTCGAACCTCATTTCAGACCACGTTATCAGGAAGCTAAAAAGAACCTCTAAGGGGCACCTTATTCAGCGGTCGCCCTGTATGAAGCGGTCGTTTGTCATCAGTCAGCGGTCGCACTGTATGAAGCGGTCGTTTGTCACAGTTCCAATTTTTTCCCCAAGTATTTTGATTTTCAACTTTATAAAGTTAACCGCATAAGCGGTAGTGGTTACCGTTAACTGAGTCCCAAAGGCCCGTTTTTATTGTCTCCCACTTGTATTTAACGTCACTTAAAGTGGAACCACTCAAAATAATACCAAGAATAATCTTTCAAACAAAATGTAATCTATGTTTATCATTGAAATTAGAAATTTTGAGCGAGTTTTTTTGTAGATTAAGTCGTCGATTATGGTATAAACTACCTTCTATTATGATTCGAGCAGTCCCTCCTTTTCGGCGAAGTCCGTCGCGCGAGTCAAAAAAAATCAGTGAAAAAAAAATTGATGTTAGCGCCCCGCGGGGAACACTTAGATGACGTCAATGCGTCGCGGGAGTGAGGCGCTCGAAAAGAAGGGCAGAACCTGCTATAGGTGGTCGACCCGGGGGACCGCTTAATACAGCTTCGACTACATTTGGGTCTTCCTACATCTGGTTACTGACACCTAAAAGTTTTCTAGTAATTATGTGGTGGATATTTACTTCCATGACCTGTCATGTTGAAACATTCACATAGGTATTTGATGCTCATCGTTCTCCGCAAAATCAAGACATAGTTGGAGACTACTGGTTCGTGTCAGAAAAAGTCGATAAGACTCTTCTTAAGGAGGAAGTCCAAAATTTTTGTGATCCGGGTTTCCCAATTTATCGTGTTCGAAAAGTTGAGCTAGTTTCCACTGATGCGGAAGTTGACGGTGGAAGAACCACTCGTAGAGGTAAATGAATTTTTTTTTTTAGTCGTGATTTGTAATGCTAATTAAACGATTAATCGTTTGTCTCACGACCACCAGTGACTAATATATAGATTTAGCTAAGCCTAAAAACGGAGCTCGCATTTTTTTTCCCGCACGTCTCAAGGGCACAACGCCTTGCCCCGGCCATTACTAAAACCGGAGTCGTCCGACTTGGAGCCCAGTGCACTGACCACTGGACTACTGGACAAAGCCGTGGCGTTGGCGTACCCGCGGTACAGTTGACCGCGCATGCTAAAAGTAGCACCTTGTACGGACGCCTGTACGGTCATAATTAAGTCCAAATTTTTTCGACTTGATGGGTTACTACTATCATTTTGTATAATTATGGGGCTACGCTCTGCGAACTCCTCTATGAATTGGAGATCGTAGACTTCATTGCTCAAGCTTCAATTTTCAAGGACAAATATACGGCCACGTTTTCGCATCACATGGAGCTTATTGTGTTCGTTATCTGTCAAATATTTTGCAACGCGCACGAAAAATTTTTACGAACAGCTTACTGGTTGCTGCTTAGGATTTTTTCTTTTGAGTGTTCTCTGGTATGACTTTATGATCAAACAAATATCTCCTTTCTCAAAACGCTCTCTCATCTTGGACTGAGTTTTAACGAAGACTTATCGTAGTGGACGCAAGGTTTGAAATTGGGGAATATCACTTGGGGGATATCCTCGATTTTAATCCACCCATTAATTTTGGCGCGATTTTATTGGTTACTTTACGTCACGTGGTGCAAAATCACAGGGCAGTTATCACGCAATAACCCCCGTCCGTGTCGATATTTGTCCTCCCATTTTTTCCGTGAAAAAGAAACATAGTCAACACAGGAGTTTCAACTTTTCCGTTCTCCTATTTACATGGAAGGAAACCAAACTGGTTTTTTTTTGCTTGCTTGCGTCAATCACGCGCATTCGCCATAAGATCACCACTGGCTTTTTTACTGTGTTTACTCGCAGTTTAATTGCGATGTGAAAATTAATGGGAAGGTTATAAAATAAATAAACCCCGTTCTGGCTTGCTGGTAAGTCGGCTGATAATGTCCTTGAGAGAGATTGTCCTCAAAATTTCATATTTGCCCTCGAAGCTTCGCTTCTCGGCCAAATATTCATTTTTCGGACAATCTCTCAGCCGCGGACATTATCAGTCGACATAACTATCAGCCGACATACCAGCCGCCCGAAGGGGTTTATTTACTAAATATCCCCTAGTTTTAGCTGGGGAATAACGATCACGAGAAGCGTTTAGACCAATCGTGCGTGAGTGCAAATGTTTGATGGATCATTATTCATGATCTCATGCTCGACCCATCGAATAATTGCTTATCGTCAAGTAACGACATGATCCTCGCAGGTGGAGTGCAATTTCAGAAAAGAAGAAAAATAGCTCTCTAAAATTCGCCTGGCTCCCAACGTGCGTCTTCTAGCTCAGTTGGCAGTAGCGTTCAACTAGTATCTGGAAGGCCCAAGTTTGCATTCCGTTGAAGACTTGTCAGGCTTCGTTTCTGCAATTGCTCAAATTGCAGTTCATCTACGAAGATCGTTTGTTTACTTCAGTTTTCATACGCAGGTCAAATGAATTATATAACATGTGTAATCATCCCAAAGTAATTCTCTAAGAGCTAAATGTAACATCAGTGGCGGATCTAGACCTTGAGCTAAGGGAGGGGGGAGTGGGGAGTGGGGGCACTTTTGTTTGCGTATATTCACCTGCCAGCTCCCCCTCCCCTAGATCTGCCACTTAACCTATCAGCAACCTGCCAGTTTTTTCTGAATTTAACTATTAAATATTAAATTATCATGCAGTTTATGCAGGTTTATGCAAATGATGCGCTTCTTCCATTAGCTCGGTTTAAGTAGAAGAAAGAAAAGTATAGCCGTAGTCAAAAAAACCATACATCTCAGTTAGATAAAAATTTATGTCAGTATGTCATTAATGTGTTATTATTCATTTATTCTAGTTTAACTTATTCCTTTTTACTTCATTTTAATTACTCGAAGATATTAGCTTACAGCTAGTCTTAAATTAATTCGAGGTAAATAAAGTTTATGTATGTATGTATGTATGTATGTATATATCTATGCGGTTCTGTACATTTTCTTTTACCTTTCATTTTATTTTAACAGTCAGACGTGCCCTTCCACTAGATTTTACAAGGGTCTCTATTTGCTCGCCCAATCAGATTCCCTTTCGTTGCAATCCTAGCGACTGGTTGATTGACGCAAAGATCCAGGGTCGGCACTGTATATGGAGGACAACATGCCGCACCGATAGTATCAGAAAAATCGTGAACTGTAGTGTCACAAATTGGGACCACCATTATGACTCTGTAATCTGCTTGCAAGCTCGCTGCCCATAAAGTCATGACACACGAGGGGAACCTTCGTGGATATTTTCCTTTAAAATAAGCTTCTTAAAACGGATGTTTAACTCACCTTTGATTCTGTAATAAGTAGAGATTTGCTTTGTCGACTCCAATTGGCCTCTTCGATAACTTTTTTTTTAAATTTCATTTGAAAGTTCAGAAGAATTTAATCAGAGAATGTTTAGAAATACATTTGATAATAAAAATTAACGGTAAAAAACTACGACGTTTCGAAGTCTGCATGACCTCATTATCAAGTAAAATGTTAAAACTGATGTAAAATTGTAGCTCAGAGATTATATACAAATAAAATGTGATAACTTCATTAGAATAATGAGCGTTCATTGTTATTGGTGTTTAGCATGTCAGATCGTGCAGTATATGTTTAAATAAATACTTTTGCACGTATTGAGTCAGACTGCGTGTTTAGCTTTGGTTTTTGTTCGCGAATGAATAGCATTTCGTGAATTAGGCAGTCCATTTTTCCGCGGCATTTCTTGAGAACGGAAAACATTTCCTCTAGGCTAGTGGACGCTACACTGTGGGCTTCTTTCAGATGCTTGCCAATGACAGAGGCTTTATGTTCTTCTATGCGTTGATGAAGATGGCGTGTGGTATAACCGATATAATCCGCATCGCACGAATCACATTTAAAAGTGTAAACAACGCATTGGTGGTTAATTAAAGCGGGCTTCTCTTCTTGTATCTTGAGCTTTCCCTCGATCTTACGACTCGTGAAAACTGGTTGTAGGTCAGTTCCGATTTTCCGGCCAAGATCTTTCAGCTGATGTCTTACTGTGTCGGCCGATTTTTGGTCTTTAAATGGTAAAGTTATTTTGACAGGTTTTTGTGTAGTCGCGTCAAGTTCAGTTGGGGTTTCGTGACGGCTTTGGATCGTAGAACTCGTGTACCAGGCGATAGCTGAGTTAACCCAAGAATCCTACCTCGGCCTTGCAGGGACTCGACTTCGTAATGCCTGTTCGTTCTGTTCAAACAAACGGGCTTAGACCATCTCATGAGATCATAAGGGAACAAAGATGGAAAATCAGGGTGCTGGCAGGAAATGTCGATTTCAGTTAAGGTGTTTTTGCTTGGCGCGGGAAGCATTCTGGTTTACTAATGTAGTTTCCTATCATCAGAACAGGGGCGGATCCGGGATTTTTTCGAGGAGGGGGTGCACCACTAAAGAATGGCGTAACTGACTGGTGACCGGACGTAAACAAATTGTAATTAACAATTATTCGCCGAAGGCGAGGTGAATATCGTCGAATAATCCCCGAGATAAAGTCGAGGGGATTATTCGACAATATTCACCAAACCTGAGGCGAATGATTATTTTAGTATAACGTCAGAGCTGAACAACAGAGAAATTTCCAAAATCATAACATTTTAGTAACATTTATTAACATTTTATTTTAACATTTTATATAAACCGCGTGGAGCGGTTTCTATAGCGTCATGTAAGGAACCGCTCGACCAATCAGGTTGCTGGAAACTCTTGCTCAACTCTGAAATTATACTAATAGCGAATACGATGAAGGCTTTTGCCTAGGCAATAACATAATATGAACTGCTGAGAGTACATATCAAACGATACAGTAGATTTTGTATGACTGTTAAGCGGACTGCACAATGTCAATGCATTGCTATAAAAGTAATGTGTCGTTTTGGTCGTATTAGAAAGCCGCAGGTCATCTCGGGGGAGGGGGAGTGCGCACCCCCTGCACCCTCCCCCTAGATCCGCCCCTGTAAGAGTCAGTTTAATGTTAACAGAAAATATCCCAATATATCAATATTACTTACCGGCGACCAAGGTGGCTCACTGAAAGAGGACTGTTTTTTTTTTTCAGGTTTTGGCAACTTTTGTGAAACAATTACATAACATTCGTTTTTCAGCGAAAGTGACTCTCGCCTTGCAGTTTATCGAGGTGTCTTGTTTCCACAGCTTTTGTTTTATGTAGCTTTGTACAGGAAAAATTGATTCATTATGTTTGGCTAGTCTGAAGATTTTATCGTGTGCTTTATCCATTTCTAAACCTTCTTGTCAATAGTTTGTTTTACATGTCGGCCCACGTATGGGGTGTCCCATCTACGATTTTCCTAAAATAACTCAAGTGAATTCGACACATCCTAACAGCTGGACCAGAAGCCTCTTTCTCAGTCTCCCCGTGATCTCTCAACAATTTGTAACCTTTAAGAGTGACTAGCGTCTGGTAATTTCTGCTTACAGCTTCAGCCCTGAGTTATATGTTAACGTCATAAGAGTAAAGGAAATGATCACCAACTGAAGAAGCTCTTGATTTCTAAACAAATTCTCTTTGTCAGCATCGTAGTAATGTAAAGAGAACAGTATGGAGAATCTGCATACTGATGTTACTGTGTTAAGGGTTAATTGTGGGTCTTTCCCCGTCTAAGTCCTAAGACTCACTTTGGCTTGAGCGTAGGCGTAGGCTATCAATTGATATATTTCAAAATTAAAGAACCTGAT